AAACAAAAGAAAAACCAACCAAAAAACCCCCCCCCAACCCCCCCCCCCAAAAAAAACAACCAAAAGAAAAAAAAAAACAACCAAAACTTCATTGTCCCTTTGCAATCTTTTCAAGTTTAAAAAAATAGTCAACTTTGCCCTCCTGTAGCGGTTCAGTGAGTTTATCTCCTTCTGATTCAAGCAGCTTTGCACTTTTGTTTGTGGTTTTTTTGTTTGTGGTTTTTTTTTGTTTGTTTGTTTTGTTTTTTTTTTTTTTTTTTGGAAAAAAAACACCACTTCTATAAAAACACACAAGAAACAAACTTTTTGAGTTTTCAGTTTAGTCACGAGCTAGCCACAGGACTTTGCTGCACACAAACTCCTGTCATGGGAGACTCTTCTCTATCAATGCCTTGCCTCATGGCAAGGTGTCCTTCAGTCATGTAATGAGCGGGCCCTGTGTTAGCAGAGAACTGGTACGTGGGATGTCCGGCCAGGCCAGTTTCTTGGCGTGGGTTTGAGTAGACTGTTAAATTCATGTCCATCGCTCCGTTCTGTCCAAAGTCCAAGGTGTTGGCAGCCACCGGGCGGTTCTGATAGGCCTGATTGCCTTGGTTACCAGTAGAGGAGGAAGATGTAGAGGAAGAAGTAGTTGAGGAAGACAGGGATGTCATGGAGTGGTGACTGTGGCCCACCTCCATAGAATCCTGGGTGGAGGAGCTGTTTGTTGGAGAATTGTAGACTCTCGGCCTGGTCCGGCTGCCCAAGGCTTGCTGTCCATGGTGGTGGTGGTGGTGGTGGTGATGGTGGTGGTGGTGGGAGCTGTTGCCGTGGTGATGATGTAATGCATTCTGTTGTTGAGGGTTTACGTGGAAGGTGGTTTCTTGGACTGGGTGGTTTTCAACAGTGACCTGTGTCGGGGCTTCGGTGGCCGTCCAACCGATCGGGGGAGGGAACTGCTGCCGGACCTGGCAAGGAGCACAAGCAGGGTTAAAATGCTGGCTCAAATCCACCCATTTCCACAGCACCAGACACTTATCAAGGGCGGAAAAGAACTTCCAAGAGCATCAAGTCCAACCTTGGAGCACCATCTGGTCAACCAGACACTGAGTGTCACATCCAGGCGTTCCTTGAATGTTTGCAACATTGGAGAGATTCATATTATTGACAGTTATTCCTATTATATGAAATTCATACTGTAAATATTCACATATATTACATGTATTCACATAGGTATTCCTATTATATGAGACATTAATATTGTATATTAATATTGTACATATATTCATATAGGTATTCATAGTATATCAGAGATTCCTATTCTACATATTAATCTATGTGAAGATATATATATTCATATAGGTATTCCTATTATATGAGAGATTCATATCATAAATATTCACATATATTCAATATATTCATATAGGTATTCATATTGTATGAGATATTCATGCTGCATATATTCATTTATATATATAATATAAATATAAATACAGCTTAAATAATATATTTATATATAATATAAATACAGTATAATATATACAGCATGAATATCTCATACATATTATCTTATATATATCCATATGTTATATATATTATATGAGAGATTCATATTATATGAGAGTTATTCATACTTATGCCAACTTTTAGAAAAGTTAACCAAGCCTTCCAGTTGCAAAATTATCCCAGAAATGCAAGCATAGGTTTAGGAATCATTAAGAAAAATAACTTTTGCATTCTGGGTGGTTTTTTTCTAACAAACAGTTGAAGTTCAACCTTGCTGTCAAAATTCTACAAACAGCTCTAGGTAATAGGAATAATAAACAATATTTGTACAATACATAGGGCGACAAGGCCCTGATTTCTGGATGAGGGAGACAATAAGCAAACTAAAAGTAATTTAATTATGTTGAAGTTCATACCTTGAGTGGTGCCAACAGCGTTAGAGGACCCTCTGGAACAACACAGCTGGTTAAAGGTTACTACAACACCACGGTCTATCTACACGCCAGTTTGTGCATTAAGTGTCCACTTGGGAGAATTTCCATTTTTATCTGCTCTGCACCACAATAAACCACCGAAGTGGCCTGTTCAGACCTACCTGTGGGCTGTGTGTTTCACAGTCCATTGCCTGAACAGCAGCAGTGAAGTGCCCACCACTGTGTCGATGCTGGTGCGTGGGGTCCGACCGTGCCCTCCCGCTGTTGCTCGTTCCGGAAGATCCACCTGGAAAACCAGAACGTGCCCAGTTAAGTCAAGGGGTTCCAAATTCAAAGCTGGGAAACAGTGGCTGAGTGAAGATTCCTGAACTGCTCCAAGGTGGAAGCACAGGATAATCACTCGCATTCTTGCTCATGGAGTGGTTTTTTTTCCAGCTGATTAAAAGAATGGGTTCATGAGCGTGGTCGATGTTTTTGGGTTTTCAACAGGAGGAAAAGACGACAACATTTCACAGAATCATGGAATACCCTGGAAGGGATCATTATGTCCAACCCCTGGCCCTGCCCAGCACACCCCACCAATCCCCCCTGTCCCTCAGAGCGTTGCCCAAACGCTCCTGGAGCTCTGGCAGCCTTGGGGCCGTGCCCACTGCCCTGGGGAGCCTGGGCAGTGCCAACCACCCTCTGCTGATTCACGTGGTCAAGATTTCCTCTAGGAAACACAACCCAGTGACCCGTCCACAACAAAACCTCACCTGAGCTCGAAGATGTACTAGAGGTGGTTCCTGAAGACTGCGACTGCTCCATGGCAGGACTGGTGGACACGCTGTTACTCGTGTTTGTACCTTCATCCGCTGTTTTCTTGAAGAAACTGTGCTGCAGGGCGTAGTAGGGCTGGATCCGTGTCTTGGGGTCATAGTCAAGCATCCTTAAGATGAGGTCTTTGAACTTCAAGTAGTCGGCTACAGTATGACCCGGCTCCCCAGCCCGGCGCCCGCCCGGCCCTCCGGTCTCAACTCCCAGGATATTGTGAAGTTTGCGAGTTCCGGGCGGTTTGTATTCCTGGCGGGAAGGTGGGAATTGTTTGAGGTCAAGGGGTGGAATTGAATGAAGCTTTGGGGGTGCAGAGTTTAATTGTAGAGGGAGTGAAGGCAAATCAAAGCAAGAAACTATGCAGTGTTACAGAATGTATTATTCTATGGATGAGACAGAGCAACAGTGAAAGTCCATTTTGAGGAAGACAAGGTGTAAAACAAAGTAACATCTCACCACTTAGATATCAGAAAATAAATGTGTATTTATAGGTATATAATATTATAGATCATCCTGGCTATTTAAACTCCCCTTCTCCCATCTTTGCTCTTCTTCAAGTTCCAAAAAAAGCCAAGTAACATCTCACCATTTATACACATAAATATAAAATATATACATTTATATTATATATACGTGTGTGTGTGTGTGTATTTTAAATATATAAATATTTTAAATATATATATACATATATAAGAATTTTTTTTAATCATCCTGGTTATTTAACCTACCCTTTTTTTATCTTTGGTCTTCTCAGGTTCCAAAAAAATCAAAGTAATATCTCACCATTTAGATACAAGAATATATATACATATATAAAATACATATATGTTTATATATAATATATATGTATCTGTGTGTAATTTTTATATATATATATGTAAAAGAATTTATTTCTTTTTAACCATCCTGGTAATTTAACCTACTCTTTTTCCATCTTTGGCCTTCTTCAAGTTCCACACAAATCAAAGTAACACCTCACCATTTATATATATAAAATATATAAAATATATAAAATATATAAAATATATAAAATATATAAAAATATAAAAATATCTCTTCTTTTCAATCATCCTGGTTATTTAACCTACCCTTTTTCCATCTTTGGCCTTCTTCAAGTTCCAAACAAACCAAAGTAACACCTCACCATTTATGTATTAGAAGGATATATCAACATATATAAATATATAGAGAATATAAATAGAAAAATATATTAAAATAGAAATATTTACAAAAACAGAAAAATATATAATAATAGAAATATACACAAAAAATAGAAATATATACAAAATAGAAATATAGAAGCATAAATATACAGAAATAGAAATATATCAAAATAGAAATATATAATATCATAAAATACAGATAAAATATTAATTATATCTATATATCTATATAGATGAAAATTATTTTTTTCAATCAATCTGATTATTTAACCTACCCTTTTTCCATCTTTGGTCTTCTTCAAGTTCCAAGTGCTATCTGGCAACTTCTCAAAGAACTTTCTTGCTTTTGGTGCTTGGTCGAGGATGTGGGTAGGTGGTATCCCTAAAACTTCCACTATTTTATTCATCTGATCCACCTGTTCCAAACAAAAAAAAGGATTTATGAGGAGCAAGTGGCAGCCAGCCAAGCAGTGTCCCAAATGTCCGCATGCCAGAACAAGCTCTAAATTAATTAATTAATTAAAGAAAACCCCATCCTGTACAAATCAAACCAGTGAATAAGGAGTAAGAGGGAGAAGCAGACTGTTATTGACACTCAGTCACTTCAGAGTTGCAGACTTCTCTCATTTATGCATTACAATTAAACAGGTGGAAACCACCATGGGCACGAAGTAAAAAATAATCTGATTTTTGTCCATAACATACCTCGTTTGCCCCACTGAAGAGAGGCTCTCCAGTGTGCATCTCCACTAAAATACACCCCAGGGACCACATGTCAATCGCAAGATCATAAGGCATTCCCAGTAGCACCTCTGGTGATCGATAGAAACGGCTCTGGATATATTGGTATATCTGGAAGAAAGCACGTGAAGGTCAGAAAGAGCAGCCAAGGCCACTCGGACAATTCCACAGGATGAAAAACAACTCCCAGGAAATATCGGTTTGGTGTGGGGAAAGGGATCAGTGATACTTAAAATACCTATAAATTATATTACAAAAATATGTCACTGTTAATTCTGAGGAAAATATTAATATTCTCCAAGAAAAGGCTCAGATTTACTCATGTTGTCATTCATTTATATCTTAACATCTCAAAATCATCTTATTATTGACATAAATAATTCCAGCTGTCATTTCACCTCCTCGTGTCTCCCTTCACCCCGGGGTGAAAAGTTTCTAGGGTGTAGTTTATCTGTATTAAAAGCCCTTTAATGAATGTAAATCTATGGCTCACCATTCACTGCAGTATTCAATATTCTGATCTGCCCTCAATGGAAAAAAGGAATGGCCAATCCCAATTTCTCAAGTGAGAACTGGGGGAATTTTGTTAATCCATTAATTTCTGAATTCTTTTCACATAATGGCCCAATCTGTAGTATAACCAGTAATAAACAGAGGACATGCTAAAGGATGGAAGGAGTAATAAATAGGGAATAAAATAATAAGATAATAGCTAATATATATATATGGAATAAGATAATAATAAAAGTATTTTATTTGACAGCACTGCAGACAACCAAGTGCTGGTGCATTTTCCATTGACGTGGCACAAAAACGCAGCCAAGGAGAACAAAACAGGTGGAATTTTATCACTGAGGTAGATTTTTATCTACTAGGGCACTAAAGGGAAGTGGTGGAGTGTGAAAGTGCTCAAAAAAACGTGTGGATGTGGCACTTGAGGACATGGTTTACACGAGAACTTGGTGGTTGGACCTGATGATCTTAGAAGGCCTCTCGATGATTTTAAAAGTCACAGAATCCCACAATGTGCTGAGCTGGAAGGGACCCACAGGGATCATCCAGTCCTTCATGGGACCATCCCCCAGAGTCACCATGGGCTTGAGAAGTCTTCTCCAACCTTAACAATTCCGTGACTCTGAAACTCACCTGCGAAGCTCCCGCGGGCTGTTGATCTCCAACACCCTATTTTACACTTAGATTACCACTTTAAAATCGTCACCAGCGAAATTTAAACGAGCCAGCTGGGTAATATAACCCAAAACCACCATGTAAATAGAACTTGGAGCCCTGCTCACCCTCTGCCCCAGCTGACACGAGCTGCCGAAGTCGACGATCTTGATGGCGCTCCGCTTGGGGTTGCAGAGCAGGATGTTCTCGGGTTTTAGGTCACAGTGAATGATGCTGAGCTCGGGGGTGGCCAGGAAGAGCAGAGCCGTGCACATCTGCTGGGCAAACTTCCTGGTGAGGTTCAGGGACACCCCCCTGAAGTTGGTGTTCCTCAGCAGGTCGTACAGGTTGTAGGACAACATCTCGAACACCAAGCACAGATGGTTCCGGAACATGAAGTGACGCTTCAGATGCACTTGGGAGAGGGGGAGAGAAAAATTCATTGACACGTGGCCTGTGTGCTGGCAATTAGGTGCTAATTACAACACAATGATTCACTCAGTATTTAAGGAGCTGAGTTAGGAGTTAAGCAAAGGAGTATTATTTTCTTTTCTCCTGGTTCCGTGTTATTTTTACAGAATATTTCTGGCAGGCCTGAGGTACAGAGGGGTATTTTACACATCCTCAGTATTATCCAAAAAAAAATTACTTACCAAAGCAAGTTACCACTCCCCTACATTTACAGAGGAAACATCAGATTCATTTATAAACTCCAATTTGTAAGCCGTGACTTCAATTGATTACTCAGTTAATAATTAAAAATAATTGATTAAAATCAATTAAAATCAATGCTCCCCAGGGCATTGTATTCATTTCAACCAGGCACAATCTGAGTTTCTGAAAGCAACCAATCTATTTATTTTTTCCACGAAATAAGTGAAATATTCATTCCATTCATCTGTTTGTCAGCCTGCCAAGTGCTCAGGTTGCCACAAGAAAATTGAAACAGGAAAAACACCTCAGATAAAAAGCCCCACACTCCCCTTTCTGCCATAATAAAATGCTGAGCCAATATCAGCACGATGAGAATTCAGATTTTTAATGAAGGGGGATTTTTGGTGTCCTGTGTCAACCTGGTGTCCGTGGATTTGTTTTCTCTGCTATCACGAGCCAGTTCTTTGTGTCCTTCACAACTCACCTGGGACAGGTTCTTCCCTATAAATTTTAAATTCCAAGAGTTTTTTTGCTGATGGCCTTTACTTGCTCTTAATTATCTGAAACTGGTCATGTCTTTAACCTCTTTCTGACATGGGGCACTGACAAGTTTAGGTTTTGTTTTATGCAAACCTGCCATTAATAAATTCAAGTTAAAAATGCCTCAAAAGCTTTGACACTGAATACATAAAATGCATTCTGAATATGATGTTACACAGAACAAGTTAAAATTTAAGTGACTAAATCATAAAATAATTTAATGCCAATGCATGTTAAAATTATTTCAAACATTTCTTTCCAAGCTACAGGAAGAAAAATCAGGAATCCAACACAGACACACGAACCAGGAAAGCACAGCTGTTGGTATTTGGGCTCCTACAAACTAAGAAATGCTTAAACCCAGTTTAATTTTCCTTAATCACTCTTTTTCATCCTTCTCCATCTCTCTTTACAGCATGGGGTTGCCTCCTCTCCATCGTTTTTTCCCCCAATTCTCTGCTCCACGGGATAGATGGGATTTAATAAACTTTTTACATGAGCTGCCTTGATTTCATTATTACCATAAATTTTGAGTAGCTTTACAATAATAAGTCAAGGGAACAACACTCCAACCTACAGGAACAGTCAAAATAATAATAATAATAATATTTCAAACATTTTCTGAGCTGTAAATGGGCAAATCTTAATATTGGTGGTTATACCAAATTTTGAGCTTTTTAAACACACATGGAAAAAAACCCCAAATAAAATATTGTGTTCTATATTCTATTATTCCTATAATGGAATATTATAGGAATATTATAAAATACATAATATTCCCATAAAATATTATGTTCTGTATTCTGTTATTCCTATAGAATGTGTGCAGTTGTGAGATAATCTGAGATATATTCAAAGACCATCACAGGTCCATGGCAACTTCTCCAGGTGTCCTTAACTGGTTGTAAACAAAAAAAAAAAGAAAACCCTGCAGAAGATCTCAACACTGCAAAGTCACAAATCACCTTCCATATTTTAATTCTGGCTGGCACAAAGCAAAAATGGAAAGTCATATGAATAATTTTAAAGTGTGGGGTGTTTTTTTTTTGGTATTTCTTTAGGACCAGGAGCACCCTGTTAAAATGGGAAAATGCAATATATTGAGAATAAGTAAAAATGGAGAATAATGATTGAAATACCTATGTAGTACTTCATCTCAGTGTCATGTTTGTTCATCAGCTCGAGCAGTCTGACTTCAATCTGGGCCTGGTTTAAGAAAGCCTTCTTGTTTTTGATGATTTTGATGGCTACCCACTCCTGCTCCATTCGGTCATAGGCCTTGACAACCTGCAACAGAGCAGCCAAACCCGTCAGGAAAACCTCTCCACTTTTCAAAACACTTCAAACTCCCTTTTCTAAACTCAGGAAAACTCTTCCAGAAGTTTTATTCTTTTTAATTCGACTTCTTTTCTTGATACCCCAACAAAGCTACCACCCAGCGTGTGACATTCATTGCAGTGAGGGCACTTGACATGAATAAATATGGCAGTAAAATCACATATGATAAATATTTAATAAATATCCAATCAATAATAAGCATTTGTTGTTTAATAAATCAATAAAATGATCCAATCATCTAAACCAATGCTGTAAAAGGACTGAGAAATAAAATCATCAAATCACCTAAACCAAAACTGTCAAAGGACTGGAAAATACAATTTTAAAATCACCTAAACCAACAATGCAAAAGGACTGGTAAAAATCTGAGAAAAACTAAAAAAGAAAAGGAAAAAAAACAACAAAAGAAAAGCCCCATCCTCCTTCCAGCCTTTTTTCTTGAGCTTCGGCTACAAACAGCCCAAATAAATGCTACTAATAACATTTACAGCAGGTGATCTCCGGGATTAGTTTATTGCTTTCATTTTAAAAAAACTAAGCCAAAGAGCTGATGGCAAAAGGTTGAGGGGTTTCTCCTTGTAAAAATGCTTTACCAGAGCTACAAAATCCAATATATCCAAAGGTTACCTGAAGCTGCACGAAACATGAGTGTCCTGAGCAGACACTTTGTGAAACAGCACTGAGAAAAAAGAGTTTTAATTTCAGGAATAGCACCTCAGATTAAATGCAATTAGGATTCATATAAATTATATATATGTATATATAATGATGTATTTACCTGTCCAAAGGATCCTTTGCCTATTAAAGAGTCGATTTCATACCGGTCCATCCACTTCTCCCCATTTTTCACGATATAATCGTAGTTGTCGTCGTCGTAGCCGTCGTTGTAAACCTTCCTCTCCTTCTTGTGACTGGAATCATCTCCCTGGCCCTGCTGATGCCGCCGTTTTTTTTTTGCATAGTAAACCTGAGGGTGAAATTGGTTGCTTGTGTATTTTACCTTTGCCAGTAGGATTTAATCAAATAATTTAGCGAAAACACTTCAGTATTTTTCCTTAGAAGCCCTCAGAGACATTTAATAAAGTTTTACAGCTCGGGCTCAGAGTGTGTTTGTGCCACTCGTAATTCTTTTGTCGTGCAAAAACCATTTGTTTAGAAAACAAGAGAACATAAATTCCAGGATGAAAGATTTCCTGTGCTGGACCAGGACATCAGTGATCTCAAATGGGAACAACTGAGAGAAAACTTGATGTTTCTGATCTTTTCATGGTATTATTTGTAGAAAATACATTAATGAGGTGTTGCACCAAACCCCTGCCCTCAGAGCACCCCAGGGAGCCGTTACCTCATTAATATGCTTGTATGTTTTGATCAAATCTACGGAGAGTTTCCTCAGTGGAGCAGTGGCTGGATCACGGAAAGTTTGGGGCATCCGCCTCTGGAATAAGAAATGAGGGGGAAAAACAGGAATTTAATGATAGAGTGATGATACAATGATGCAAGAAATCACCGGATCACAGGATGGGTCCAAGCACTGGTGCATCCTCTGCCAGAGCCTGGGGAGGTCCCCTCTCAGTGTGTGCTCTGGAGGCTGAACAGCCCCAGCTCCCTCAGCCTTTGCTGCTCCCAGAGATGCTCCATCCCTTTGGAATCTCCGCAGGAGAATCATCTTCCAGCAGCTCCCTGTCCCTGCTGTGCTGAGGGGTCAGAGCTGGACCCAGCCCTGCAGATGTGCCTCCCAGGGCTGGGCAGAGGGGCAGGATCCCCTCCCTGACCCTCTGGAAAGGCTCTTCCCGATGGATTTGGCTCCCAGGGACAGCTCATTGTCCACCAGGTCCTTCCACAGCCTGGGCTGGGGCCTGGGGTTATTCCTCAGTTTATCCTGGGTTTATATCCTGGGTTTATCCAGAAAAAGTTGTTTCGTGGATGTTTTATATTATTGAACTAAATAATGACCAGGAGAAGTGGAACTGCTCCTCCATCTTCTACAGTATTGCTTTATTAATAAGTAATAATAACTAATAGTAAATATTAAATTACTTAATGAAATATTACTACCTGAATATTACTAAATAATAGATATTAGTAAATGTTATAATATTAAATCATACTGTATTCTATACTATTTAGTATTATAACACTAAATTTAGTTTTATAACATTAAATTATACAATGTTTAATTAAAATACTAAATTTTTTTTAAATACTAAATTTTTATTTAAAATACTAAATATTATCATAAATAATAAATATTACTATGGTTGCTGTGCAAAGAGGTGGGGTTTTTTTTTTTAATTCAAAGACAAAATAATTTTTTTTTTTTTTTAAAATCACATCTCAGTGACCCAAAATAGGTCTCACAGAAAGAAATGATAAAAGTTTATGCTTCTGAGACTGGACCTGCCCTCAGGTCCCCAAGAAATCCCAGCTCCAGCGAGCGCACGGAGCACACGGACAGGGGGATGGACATAAATCCTCTTTTATTACAAGTCATAAAACTTTGTGAACAGCAGGAAACCCTCTGAAAGTTCCCTACACAAACCACTCGATGTTTACAAAACGTTTTTTGTTGCTTCCTTTCAGCTGCCAAACAAACAAACCCCACCTAAAGTGGAGCTCCTTTGGTTCCCTCCCCACAGCCCCGCGGAAGAATTCCAGAGTTCACATCAACTATTCACATCTAACGTTCCTCTAAGCTGGAAAGGGAATTTGGAGGACCAGCCTTCATGTTTATTTTCTAATTTATAAGTCAAATTTCCTTGCTTACTTCAAAACTAAATCTGATTTGCACTCTGAAATAAGCAGCCCGGTGGGAAAAAAAATAATGAATTATGATCTGATTTGTTGCTGTTCCCTAATTATTGTAATAATTAAATAATAACTATTAAAATCCTGAAGGCCACTCCTCTGGTTCTTGCAGTCAGTTTTTTATTTAAAAGCTGTGCTGGATTTGGACAGTCCCACATTCCAGAGGCCTCACCTGAACCTGCAGGAGCTTCTCAACAGGTGCTGGTTTTGCTCTCCCAGGTTCATAAAGTTTTGGGTGGGAAAAGAGAAAAAAACTAAGCTTTTTTTTTTTCCCCCTCTCTTCCTTTGATATTTTTTACTTTGTAACATTCTCTTCTCTTTTCAAGAGAGATTTTTTGCTCCCTCTTTCCTGGGGCTGGAAGAGGGTGGAGCCAAGTGCTCGTTGTCCAACATTTCCATTTTTAACACTCCCAAATTAACCCTGATTCCTGCCTGGGCTGCCAAGGATCATCAGCACCAAAGGAAAGGGGAAAAGAGATGGAAAAAAAGAGAGGGAAGAGAATCTTTCACGAAGTTCAGTCTCTATCTGGTGGCCAGAGAGCAACACTGCAACCTCAGAGCTTCCTGAAAACTGACCCCAAAGGGGCCTAAAATCAAAGAGCTGCCGGAATTTCTGTCTGAGAGACAAGAACTACTTTAATTTCAATTATTTGTGTCAATAAACACCCCTAAAAAAGGCAGCCAAGAGCCTCACTGATACTCAACACAGCTGAGACAAACCATGTTTTAAGGAAAATGTGATTTTTAACTCAGGTGTGTTGTTTGAACCAGCACAGCCTTTTGGGTTTGGTGAAAAAAGGAAGAGAAAGCAAAATTCTCTCTCTTTGGACATAGGTTTTATTATCTAAAATAAAAAAAATTAAATAAAAATAAATCAAAATAAAATTAAAATAAAATAAAATAAAAATAATAAAATAAAATAGAATAAAATAATATAAAATAAACCAAAGTAAAATAAAATAAAAATTTTCCCTTATTAAATGCATTTTATTTTGATTATGGAAGTATATATTCTGTTCACAGGACGCTTGAATTCAGATTTTTTTTTTTTTTTTTTTTTTTTTTTTAAAAAGAAAGATCCACTACCATTAAAAAAAAGGAGGGGAAAAAAAGATAAATTCAGCTTGTGTAAACTGCATGTTCCATTTTACAACTGGAATAAACAATGAATGGGGTAAATAATGAAGATTTTACAGTAGAAAGGGAACTT